GGCAAGGCTAGTCTATGTATTAAGTAGCAGCAATGAGAGAAGAGAGGGTATGGATGATAGACGGAAAACAAAACTTTACTTCTGAGAAATCCGGCCATCGCGCCGTTCACTACTTGTTAATCCGGCCATCGCGCCGTTCACTACTTGTTCTTCCTGTTCTTCCTTCCAGTAATTTCTCCTTCCAGTAATTTCCCTTACAATTGGTATCAGATTTCTGTTCGAGTCCTGGCCTCCAATCCCCCTCATACCTACTTTACTCGTCTGCAACGCTCTCTGGGAGTCATGGAGCCGAATCTCAAGTTGATCCTGGAGGAAATCTAGAAGTCGAAGGAGGAGTTCGGGCGTCGTTTCGACGAGCACAATGAGTAGTGGGAGCGGCGATTTGCCGATCTCGAGCTTAGCCGCTCCGCCCGCGACGCCATTGTCGACAAACGCCTCGACTCCATCGAGCTCGCTGGCGCCGACACGACGTACACCATCGGCCGGCGCGTTGCCGATTTGGAGGCCGTCCGCGTCGATCCCCTCCAAGATGAGCGCGACGACCGCGTCACCGCCCTCGAGGTGGCCGCCACGGACCTCGGTACTTGGCGCCCAGAGATGGAGGCGCTCGTCGACGACCTGCGACTCGAGATGCAGAAGCTATCCCAATGTCGCGACTCTAAGGTGTTCGACGTTTTGCCTCAATGGCCTACCGTCGTCGCCTCTTCTTCCTCTGCGCCCAGTGGGCACGACGATGCCTCGTCTCACCGGGATGGTGGGTTTGGGACCGGGGCGGTCTGGACTCATGTCCCGGTCATGGGTAAGCAATCCGACCCTCCTCCTCCTCCTCCTTCCCTTCATCCGCGCTCGACACCACAGCTTCCGCACCGGCCACCTGCTCCACCGTATCATTCTCCACACCTTCCTCCGCATCCGCACCCTTCTCTGCATCCACCGCGCCCCCCTCCGCTCTACATACCTCCTCGTCCACCGCTTTCCACTCCTTGCCACCCAACTCCTCACGACACCCATGACCTCCCACATCCAACTGGACGTCTTCCTAAGCTTCCATTCTCTAAATTCGATGGCGAAAACCCACGCCTATGGCGTTCTCGCTGCGAGCGCTACTTCACCATGTACGCCATCGATTCCTCACTTTGGGTTAGCGTCGCAACCATGTATGTGGAAGGCGCCGCTGCTAGCTGGTATGAATCCATCGAAAACACCCCAGCCACTGCAAATTGGACAGCCTTCTGTCAAGCCTTGCACGATCGATTTGATCGAGATCAGAAGGAAGCATTGATTCGTCAATTATTCCACATCAAACAAACTTCTACGGTGCCGGAATATGTCGAGCGTTTCTCTGTTTTAATTGATCGCCTCAAATCTTATTCTTCTTCTACTGATCCCCTGTTTTATACAATGCGCTTTATCGATGGCCTTCGGCCCGACCTCAAAGCTATGATACTACTGGTTTCTCGACCACAAACACTCGATGCTGCTATCTGCATGGCTCTTGTGCAGGAGGAGGTGGCTGGCCAAGCGGGCGCCCAATCTTCGTTTTGTTCGACGGCACCCGTTGAGTGGTCTTCTAAGCCCACATCACGGACCGCGCTGCCGCTACCCCCACCTCCGCCTCGTGTCGACAAGCCCGTGGTGAAGCCTGCAGCCACCGAGCCCGCGGCAACATCTTCAGCAACTGGTGCTCTGGCTGCTGTCAAAACGTACCGTCAAGCATTGGGGTTATGCTACAAGTGCAACGCCAAGTGGAGTAAGGATCACCGGTGCGCGCTGGAAGTCCTGCATGCTGTCGATGCTCTTTGGGAATCGCTGGACCCTGATGTTGGGCCGGCTGCAGAACACTCTGATGATCACCCAACTGAACAAGTGTTTTTGGCCATATCCAAGTCTACTGTGTCGGGAGTACCTGCTGCTCGTACTATCCGGTTGTTGGGATCGATGTCAGGTATTCCGATGCATATTTTGGTGGATTCAGGGAGTTCTTCATTTATCAGTAACACTACAACTGCTCAGTTACATCACTCAGATTCAGTTGCTATGTCTAGCTGTGTGCAAGTTGCTGGTGGTGGTGTGTTGCAGAGCTCCTTGCTGCTTCGCCAAGTTCCGTGGACAATTGGCTCATGTTCCTTTCGCACTGATTTTCACGTGCTGCCTTTGGGTAACTTCGACGCCATTTTGGGCATGGATTGGTTAGAGGCCTACAGTCCTATGCAAGTTCATTGGGCCTTGAAGTGGCTGGCAATTCCATATGCTGGCAAGACTCAGGTGTTGCAAGGGTTACTGCCTGATGAACCGGAACAGTTGCTGTTGCAGATTGAAAATACAGTGCCTGCTCCTTCTTCAGATCAGGATACCGTCAGTGTTCCAGCTCCAATCAGTCAGCTAATTGAGGAGTTTTGTGACTTGTTCCAGCCACCAACATCTCTTCCACCTTCTCGTGCTTGTAACCATGAGATTTCTCTGTTGCCAGGTGCCCAACCTGTCTTCATTCGGCCCTATAGATACCCACCCAAACTGAAAGATGAAATTGAAGCCCAGGTTCAGGAGATGTTGTCACAAGGCCTCATTCAGCCGAGCTCTAGCTCTTTCTCATCGCCAGTACTGCTTGTCAAAAAGAAAGATGGCTCCTACCGGTTCTGTGTGGACTTCAGACACCTCAATGCCCTGACAAGGAAGTCCAAGTTTCCTTTGCCGGTGTTTGACCAGTTGATGGATGAGCTAGCAAACGCTAAGTGGTTCTCAACATTGGATCTTCGAGCGGGTTTTCACCAGATACTGTTGCAGCAAGGTGAAGAATTCAAGACCGCTTTCCAGACTCACCTGGGTCAGTATGAGTTCAGAGTGATGGCGTTTGGCCTTACTGGCACGCCCAGCACATTTCAGGGTGCCAAGAATGGTACTTTGGCTCCAGGTTTACGCCGCTTCGTGTTGGTTTTCTTCGATGATATTTTCGTCTACAGCCCCACCTTTGAAGCCCATGTCGACCATCTGCGGCAAGTTTTTCAGTGGTTACATGCTGATCAGTGGAAGCTCAAGCTCTCGAAATGTACCTTCGCTAGGGAGTCCATCTCCTACTTGGGTCATATCATCAGCAGCCAAGGCCTTTCCACGGACCCAGCCAAGGTGCAAGCAGTGCTCGATTGGCCCGTTCCATCTTCAGTACGGGAGCTCCGAGGGTTCCTGGGCCTTGCCGGCTATTACAATAAATTTGTCCGTCATTTTAGCCTCATTGCCAAGCCTCTAACAGATCTCCTGAAGAAAGATCAGTTGTTCATATGGACCTCAACCCATGAGTCTGCCTTCTCTGTCCTGAAACAAGCTCTCTGTACTGCCCCCGTCTTGGCGTTGCCGGATTTCAGCTTGCCCTTCCACATTGAAACTGATGCTTCCGGGTCTGGAATTGGAGCAGTTTTACAGCAGAATGGGCACCCCATAGCATTCATTAGCAAAGCCTTAAGTCCCAGGAATCAAGGGTTGTCAGTCTATGAGAAGGAATATCTTGCTATATTGATGGCTGTCCAACAGTGGCGTCACTACTTGCTTCAAGGCGAGTTCTTTATTCACACTGATCATCGCAGCTTAGTCCATTTGAATGAACAGCGGCTACATACTGCATGGCGACAGAAAGTATTCTCCAAATTGCTTGGGTTAGAGTATAAGATTCTCTACAAGAAAGGCTCTGAAAATGGCGCTGCAGACGCCCTTTCTCGCCGAGTACACCCAATTATGAGCTTTGCTATATCTTCAGTCTCCCACAATTGGCTTGATGAAGTTGTCCAAGGATACTATTCTGACCAAGCTACTATGGATCTGTTGTCTCAGCTGGCTGCCAGCCCCGATAGCCGTCCTCCATTTTCCTTAATCCAAGGAGTCATCAGATATAAGAACCGTCTGTGGCTGGGTTCTAATAAGTCCATGCAGCTTAAAATTACGACAGCACTACATAGCAGTCCATTGGGTGGCCACTCAGGTGCCCCAGCGACATACAGTAAGATCAAAGCCTTGTTCTTCTAGCCTGGTATGAAATCTGACATTTGGGCTTGTGTTCAGTCATGTGCTGTGTGTTTGCAAGCCAAGCCGGACCGATCCCGTTATCTAGACCTCTTGCAGCCACTTCCCGTACCGTCTGCTTCTTGGGAAGTTGTCTCGATGGATTTCATCGAAGGGTTGCCCCAGTCTGGCTCGTTCAATGCAATCTTAGTAGTGGTGGATAAGTTATCCAAGTTTTCACACTTCATTCCACTGCGCCATCCTTTTACAGCAGCCTCTGTTGCCAAGATTTTCATGGACCAAGTGTATCGCCTTCACGGTCTTCCTTGAGCTATTGTCTCCAACCGCGACCGCATATTTACCAGCAACTTTTGGAAATCTCTGTTCAAGGCAGCCGGCTCCGAGCTTTAGTTCAGCTCCACCTACCATCCACAGACGGACGGTCAGACAGAGCGTGTCAACCAGTGCCTCGAGACATTTCTTCGCTGCTTTGTGCACACTTGCCCAGCTCAGTGGAGTCGTTGGTTACCACTCGCTGAATTCTGGTATAATACATCTACACATTCAGCACTGGGACGTTCCCCCTTTGAGGTCTTGTATGGTTTTCCTCCACGACTGTTGTCGGTGAACTTGGATGAGGTGGCTCCAGTACCTGAACTTCACAAGTGGATGGCTGATCGAGAACTCATGCATACTGTTGTCAAGCAGCACTTGCTCCGTGCTCAGGCTCGCATGAAACGGCAAGCTGATAAAGGCTCTCTCCACCATTGGACTTCCATAATATTTTATGCAAGGGAAAACAAAACCTGATCGCAGGCAAGCAGGGCATGATACCTGCCAACATGTCTTACTTTCATGTAACGATGATAAGCCAGCTAATGAGCTTATCTAGTGTACACATGAATAAAATAAAAGCATATGAGGTTCAGAAAATTAATCAGACATGCAAGGTAACGCAGTCCTAGCTGTGAGATCCCATCCCAGTTTCTACTAGACAGCCTTCCGATCACTTAGCCAGTTGCTTCCTCAACTTTGGCCTTCTCCTTCCTCTTCTCCACAAGCTTCTGACAGATAGAGCAAACAAACGGCAGTGAGATCCTAGAAGACATGATACATTCTAATGTAAAAGCAAACAAGCATTAACTTACAAGCTCACAGATCTTGCAATACCAAACTGGTGATAGTGTTCAGTGGTAATGCATCCGTCCTCAGAATGACATCAGGGACATGCTCAATGTTTCACCAATTTGGATGATCTTTCTTTTTACAGGTCTCCACAAACCTCTCATGGCAATCACAGGCAACAAAATATTGTAACTTTGCAGGTAGAGTTGGGAGAGAATGTATATTTTTGCATCCATTCAAAACCAGGCAGCACATGGATGTGAGGCACTCTAAATTGCTGGGTAACATGTCAATGCTGCAGTCCTCAAACCAAAGAGTCAAGAGAGAATCGAACTGCAACAACACTTCCTCATCTCCCAGTTTTTCAGAACACAATATCTGAAGAAAATAATGACGGGCACAAGCCTCCCTTGAGAAAAGCTTCTTCACAACTGACAGGTCATCAATACATATGGAACCGACAACTCGAATCTTCTCATCATCTCCAAGGGAACTGATATTAGGACATCCAACAATTGTAAAATCAAGAGTTTCCCGTGTAAACTCACTTATGCCTTCTATACTAGTGAAATGGAAACAATTACCAATACTGAGCATCCTGAGCTTAGATAGAACACTGATTGCATCACATGAAATTTTTGTGAAAAAAGGAATGCAACCAAGCTCTAATCTGACTAAGCCTGAAGAGCCTTTAATCCAATTATTAACAACAGTATCGGTGACAATACAGCCCGAAATGCTTAAATCCTCAAGTGAGAAAGGCAGTAATACCTTGCAATAATCATCGTCATTTGTCTGCCCGCATATGAAAGGGACTGCGCTTGAAACCATACCTGGATGAACATATTGGTGCCTACGCCCACCAAAACTATCAGAAATATCACGCATGAGCTCCCGAAACCTTATAGGTTCCTCATCAGCAATCCTATACATTTCTCCAGAATCAGTAATGTTCAGCGATGGAACAGTCTGACAGATTTGATCAAACATTAGCTTCAAGAACTCCACATCTTCAGCACATGTCAACAACAAGGCCTCGCAATCAGATATTTGTAGGGTTTTCAGATTTTGAGGAAGTATCGGCAGACTCTTTAGTTTGGGAAGACTTCTGAGTATAAGCTCATGAAGATGGACAAGTTCTCTGATTTCTGGAAGCGCTTCCAGTTTAAGACAAAGCTCAAGCTTAAGGCGCTGCAAGTTCCTTAGCCTTTGTTGGTCCTCTGACAGCTAGCTTGGGTACTGGGAACCACCATAGCAAGAGATTTTCAGCCGTGTAAGCGAACAAGGAGGCTGGAGACCCTCAAGTACCTCGTCTTGGAGACCCAGGGGACAACTGTGATGCTCAGCCCATACAAGCGACACTTCTGTAAGATACTTCTTGTCAACCAATTTAGCTTGTAATGCTGCTGCCTTGCTTTTAACATTTTCTAGTCCACTAATTTCCAAGCTAGCATGAAGATGATTCAAGCTCCCTAACTGTTGCAACTCATACCCTTTCTCCTTCTTCACATTAAAGTGACCCAATGTCCGAAGCAAGGCTAACTTTCCAATTCCTGGGAATGCAAACAATGTTTCATAGGAATGTATGGAGGGCCCAAAGAGCTAGCAACATGCCTTAAACTAATAAGATTGTTCATGCTTTTCACATTGGAACAACTCACGTCAAATGGTCCAGTGAATTCTATGATCTATAAGTGATATAGCTGATAAAATTTTCTTGGCAAATCTATATGAATTGGGCTGCTCTTATGAATGCTCAAGTATCGCAGGTGTCGCAATTTACAAACTGAGGCCAGAACCATTCCATCTCCTTGAACCTTTACTTTTAGAACACGCAGATTCCTTAATTTCTTAATTATGGCATCAAGAGATTCTTCAGTTAAACCATTTCCTTTAGGACTGATGATTAGTGTTCGCAGCTTCTTCATTTTGCAGATACCCTCAAGGACCTCCATTGGATCATATAGATCTACATACAGATACCGGGTGTTGCCAGGTGGTGTTTTTCTTTTTGGATCACCCTCCTCAAACCTAAAGCAGTCGCTGCCACTTGCCCTCCCAGCTAATTCATGGATCAAGTCATGCGTATGGAACATTCCATTGTCTTCTTTCTTGAGAAACGAGCAAGAAACTAGTTCATCCAAGTATTGCCCCCCTACATCTTCTAAATCTTCATCTGTGTTTACATTGACAAGCCCTTCTGCTATCCACATATTCAGTAGTTCATCGCGCTTAAATCTCGTGGCTTTAGGGAAAATGCTGCAGTAAACAAAGAAGCGTTGAACCTTATCATCCAGATTCTGAAAACTCCACCAAAGATAACTCATTGTACCAGTAAACAGATTTTCACCTGGAACTCTTCTCCAAAAAGCTGCATTTAACTGTTTCCGCAGTCGGGCTGCCACTACCGTTGCTGCTAATGGTGACCCCTTCAAATTTTTCACTATCTCCCTCCCAATCATCACAAACTCCTCACGTTCTCTGTCAAGCTCGGCACCATCAAGTGCACAATGGAAGAAGAGATCAACCAAGTCGTTCTCATCCATGTCAGGTATTGGAATGAAAACTTGAGCACCAAGCGCTTTGGCAGCATCTCTGAATCGAGATGTAGTCAGGATCTTACTTCCTCTTTTCACATTCTTCAGTGGAGAGAGTAGCCTCTTCAAGTTATGTTCAGCCACATTCTTGTCAGGCCATATATCATCAAGGACTAGTAAAACCTTTTTGTTTGTCAATTCAGCCTCTAGCTTCCTTTCAAGAGTATCAAAATTCCTAAATTTGGAAGATGGCTCTCCTGTAGCTGCCTCAAGCATCTCTTGGTAGATCTCACCGATATTAAATGTCTGTGAAACATTAATCCAAATGATCAGGGAGAAGTATTTTTCTTCTCTTTCAACTGTGCAGACATATTGTGCCAGGTTTGTCTTCCCTGATCCTGCCACTCCATAGATCCCTATCACTGAATAACACTGACTGTCTGACTGACACTAGCACTTGCGTCACTATCATCGGGTGCTTCATGGAGCATTCATACTATGTTTTCGCAGTCATTGTTTCTGCCAAATACAACTTCTGGAAGAGCTGAGGTTGTACCAAACTTCATCACTTGGTCTCTGGGGATTGATGTGTCACTATGATTATCATTTGCACATGTCAACTCAGGCAAAAACTGGGAACCTTCTACAATGAGTTTCTCTAGCTTTTCCAAGATCCTCCTCAACCCTTTTTCTTTGATAGCACGAAGCATAATCTTAATAGTTGTCTGTGGAATAACCTGCATTTCAATACAACAGTGCTACATTTTAGCACCTATATTATATGATATATAACAGTGCTACAAAAAACATCAACTTGTATTTATAAACATATGACTTAATAAATTGCACTGTGATTTTGAATATTGATGCCCGTTGCAGGTACAAGTAGAGTCAAACACTAAAAATCTTCAGTGGAAGCAGCCCTATGCATATAGCTAGAATAGTTGCAGATACAAAGTAGCATTTATAGTAAACAAAATCACTTCAAGCACCAATTCTGTGAGATCTCATCGTAATCACACCAGTTATAATGCAAAGTATAAAAATTGCTTGCTATCTCACCAATCTTCGCTAGCAAAGAATATTGCAAGAAACAACTTCCCTAGACCTTCTAGGTTCGTACCTACGACCTACTGCAATGGCGCATGCATCATGTATAGAACTATTTCAGTTATACAAGCAATGCTCCCCTCAAAAGAAGTCATACAAGTAATGCTGCCATCAAAAGAGATCAAACAAGTAATGCAGCAAGGGTAGTTAAGCAAAACAAGCCAAGGGATGCATCATCAGTGGTGACAAAATAGCATCAACCTATGTAAACATTTTATCTCTTAGGTAGAATGCTCAATTCACACCTATACATCAGTCATGCATAAACCAACAACACTTGATACATTTCAACTTATGTTCCTAAAAGAAGTCATAAGAGTAATGCGATGTGGATAGTTAAATAAATCAAGCAGAGAAAACAACAGTCTGCATTCTAACAGATACCAGGTTTGTACTACTGATTAGACTAGCATAAACTATCTCTCAGGGTGGAGCACTTTAGTTGTGGTACCTAGTCGAACTACTCAGTTATGTATAAAGCAACTACTCAATACAATTGAACTAAGCACATGAACATACAGGGATACAAACGAAGTGACAAAAACAGTTAAAGCCAGTATAAAAAGCATCCATAACAGTCCAATAACCAGCTCGATGAATTAAGCCATTATAAAAGAACTCCAATTATACCCACATTAGATGTAATACCTCAAGCTGTGAAAACTGTACTATCAAGTGATAGAACCAAGTAGATTAATATCTAAGGAAGCAGAGATAGTAAAATCCAACCGACTTAGACTCAAACAAGCTACGGATGTCCCCTCACTCAAACCCAAGTGCTTATGATATGAGGTACTGCCACTAATGCGCTATGGAACTAACCTACACACGCAGTTTTACCTTTACATGGAACATTCAGTCAACAGCTTTCAAAACTATTCAGTCATGCATAAGCTTACAGCACAATTAAGCATGAAAACAATATTTGTAGGAATTAAAAATTCATTAGACGGTGTGGGAGGAAGTGAGGGTGTTAAACCTTGCATTGCAGGCGATTGTAATCAGCGATGTCCACCACGTCCTCCGCGTCGTAGATGGTGGAGCGGAGCCTCGCCGCCCACTGCTCCACGCGAGCTCTCTGCTCAACAGGAATCCTCTCCGCCCGCTCCAGCATGAGTGCTAGGCGCGGCAGCATTCGAGACTCCAAGTCCTGTAACTTCTCGGACTCATCGAAACCAAGAAACTCAAATCCCTCATTAAGGATCTTGGTGCCGATGGGTGACATGATCCAACTAGCTATGGATATGCTCCACCCAACTGCCGCAATGCTAGCCATGGCTCTGGAACATAAAAAAAGGAAAAAAGATATTAGAAATGACCAATAATGATCTAACTTACCCAAAACGCTCCAACTCAATGTAATTCAAAATGGAATAGAAGTGCGGAGTCCCAGAAAGATAATAGAATAACAACTTGACATGAAACCAAACTATTTATGTTATGACCGGCGTCCAGTACACCAGGCGCAGGCACGCCAGTGGCTAGGAGGGCGCCGATCAGTAGGGGGGCAAAGGGCTCAGTCATCTCCTTGATTTGCTATTTCCTATTTTTAGTTCCATGAAATTAGGATCTCAAGATTGATTGTTTAGAAAGAGATAAATAGCTCCAAACAGTAATAGAGGAAATTAAGCAGAGCAACAGATTTGTTGCTAGGCTTCTCACCGTGCTCTCTCTCTCTCTCTCTCCCGTTCGTCCTCCTCGCCGTGCCCTCACAGCGCCGACTCGCCGCCGGAGGCTCAAACCGCAGCCACTGGTCTCATTTCCCTACAACCTTCGCAGCAATCGCCGTAGGGTCATCGATCCTACCAATTTACCTTGCTGAACACATTACAGACGCAAAATTCAGTAGAACAAATTGGAAGTGACATGTGAGCATCTCCTTAAAAATATTAATGTCAAAATTCGTCCTATGTAAAATCTCATGACATACGACAAATATTAAAATAGGATAATTCTATCGAGTGCAGATGTATGTTGCTGCAAAACATGACTTAGTAAGGTAATTACTGCCTATGTACAAAATATCCTATCAGCAGAAAAACAATTTTGATGAAAACCTGTCTTTTTAAAATCAATCAGAAATGTCATTTTTTTTATATATGATTTTGCTCAAAAATTGAAATATGATTTTCATCAAGGACATTCTGTATGGCACCAGAGTTTGAATAGGTTATAGGTTAATCTATCGCTCAATTATCTAACAAGATAACAAACCAATATAGCACCAGAGACCTGAAGAATGAACCGAACCAACTCCAGGTGTCAAACCAATATTGTGCCCAACATGAACATGTTAGTGCAAGCAAGCATCCATTCAGGGACTCACCACGGCATGCTCTGCCATCTCTCCCAACTAAACACGGATCATTTTTCTCTAAAGAGGAGATTTACTGAGACCAGAAACTGAAGAGGAGATCGGAAACTGAAGGGGATCCAGAGATAGGATACCTGAGGTCGGGGCAAGAGGCGCTGCGAACTGACTGGAGGCACGCAGCCGCCGTCCCTGGCTGCCGGTTGGTGTGGAGGTACAGCAGCGGCCCCTGCTTGGCCGCTGGGTGGCTGCAGCCTGCAGGCGGCTGCCGCCTCGAGTAGAGAAGAAAAACTCAACTGCGCTGCGCTTAGGGGGACGAGAGACTGAAACTGGAGGCACAAGGACGGAGCCGCGCCCCCGGGTACGGTGCTACAGTACCTCGTGAGTGAGGATGCAGCGGCAGCGGCTGTATGCTTGCCCCGGCGGAACGGCGCGGCTCGATGGCAGTGCGACGCGAGTGGGTCCAAGACGCAGGCTCGCGGTCGAGCTGGAAAGATGGAGCTGCAGAGAGAAAGCGTGCACCAAGATTCGATTTCGAGAAGCTGTAACCGGAAGCGAGGCAAGGGCCGTTTCGAGCGGGGCAGAGCCCGGCCCAGGGCTGGCGACGCCTGCCGTGCCGCGTGCGAACCACGCCGACGGGCAGCCGTGCGGACCGACGAACGGCGCTGTTTCTGGGCGTCCTCGCGTCGCGTGACGGGGTCTCGGATGTGGAGGAACAGGAGGAGGGCGGGGGCGCGGGAACGGCGTTTTGCCGGCTAATGCGTGCATGATTTTTTTATACAAATAATGATAAAAATATTGATAAATGCTTTAAATAACATACGAAAGCCAGCTATAACGTAAGGTTTCGTGGTGTAGTTGGTTATCACGTCAGTCTAACACACTGAAGGTCTCCGGTTCGAACCCGGGCGAAGCCAATTTTGTTGTTCCTGTTTACTCTCGCAGGTGTTAAATTTTTGGCTACTTTTCCGCTTACATAGTACTACTATATGATTCCTGTTCAATCTCGCAGGTGTTAATTTTTTGGGTACTTTTCCTGTTGCATAGTACTACTATCTGATTAGATTAGGATAAAGAAATCATGTGATGTGATGCAGCGCTAAGCATCGGAGGGTCAGCGCTGTCACCTGTACCTCCAACAGGTGATCCATACGGGGCACACAAACCCAAAATGAATTTTGCATAATGCTGTACGAGTCTCCAACAGAGTACCTATACGTGAGACCTATTTTGAGTTGCAACAGAGGTACAACTCAAATGTAAGTATCCTCTCTCCTAAAGACTCATTTGTAGAAATGATTTTTTTTTGGATCCTATTGTTAGAGAAGACTAAACATAGGTATCGAATCATTTGCCTGTAGTGTTACTTAAACTTGAAATAGATGTTGTATTTTAGATGATGTTGCTGGAGATAGTCTCCGAGTCTCTAAATACTCCATGCTTCATTCAGCCTATGTATCTGAACAGTGAACAAGAGGCTCTAATACTCCACTGTAACTGTAAGGCCCTGTTTGGCAGCTTTGTAATTTTATTCACCAGTAATTCATTTTCAGGTGTAATATCTTGTGCACTAGAATATAGCTGTAATATCTTCGGTATGTTAAATATTTGTTTGGGTAATCATCATGGAGCCGCCATGACAGGTCTGTGCGTGCGGTCTTCGACAAGAGGTGCTGCTCTCTGCGCCGCTCAGGATGTCGGAGCTGCTGCTCACCTTGCCGTGAGGGCCTCGGGCTGCCCGACTCACAGCACACCGTCGGACCTGTCGCTCGCCTTGCCGCGAGGGCCACCTGAGCCGCCGCCCACCTTGCGGCGAGTGATGATGAAGCCATTGCCCTCGCCTCCTCTCCTCACGCAGGCTATCGGCGATGAAAAGAATTGTCCGCGGCAAAGCTCGAGCAGTAGCAGCTTGGGGCTGTCGGACACCTCACCACATAGAGCTCAGCTTCAGCTAGACGGTGGATCGAAGGCCAGCGTATCTGTCTTCGTCGGCGACCGTGGTCTGTGCATCTGGACGGATGACGCATTTCATCAAACGATTGGTATTCGCAAATCACAACTAGCAAGAAAATTTGACTTTGCAAAGCACGTGAGACGAAGAATGGATCCTAGGCTACGAACCTGGGCAAAGGAGATGGCAGGGTCGCCGGAGTGCTCAACAGCTATGACCATGCCACTACGGCCGCCTAGGTCGGAGGAGAGCTCGGCGAGGCACGAGCCTCGCCGTTCCTCGGGAGGAGCCGTTGGCGCCGCCGAGCTCCCAGACCCGGAGCCCGCTGAAGAAAGTCAGAGAGGTTTGCCACTGCGTCTCCATATGAGAAAGAGAGAGAGATCAGAGGCGCGAATGGAGAGCTCGGTGCCCCCGCGGCAGTCTTCCAAGCGAGCGGATGGGAGAAGGCCCCGTAGTTGTCGTCTTTTTTTCCGGAGCTCAAGAGACGATTATTTTTATCCGCTGGTTTGGGTCCAAACCGGATGTAATATTATTAGCCTCACCGACCATCCAAACAACTAACTTTAGTTTGGGTTGAAAAAAATTTAGGACATAAAATTTACAAGGGTTTTAGTCTAAATACCAGACATCCAAACAGGCCTTTGATGCAAGGGTCAAGTAGTTTGGAAATCGCTTTGTCATTGTCCCCTAGCAGCACTGTACAGCATGCCGTTGCTGGTGGCAACTTATTGGTTGGCTGTCTTATCTACGAGGCGTCGTTACTCGTCACAACCAGCCGGCCCCGGCTGCCGGCAGCGTGCGTGGATCAGCAGCCAGCAGGAGTGCAGGACCAGGGACCAGAGAGTGTACTGCGATCTGCTCTTGTCTCGTCTCCCGTGTGACCTGCACGCACGTATGCGTAGTGCATTTGAGGCCCGCCGACAAACGCGGCCCATTCAATTCGCTGGGTGAAGTAAACTACTCCTACTCCTTTGTTTTCCGCAGACTCTAGGATAAACTATTCTTATTTGCTTTTAAAGTCTTTTATGCCTGTGCGTTGTATCAAGGTCACGATTTTTTTTTACCGAACCTCCGTAAAATGGGACGTGAACACATGGGCTTTAAGGATTTTGTATCGGGCGTGAACATGTGGATGCGGTCTTCGTATATGAACCGAATAGAAAGCGGACACATGAACTCCGAGTGGAAGACGATTCGTATCGGACACGGACGCGTGATCATGGATCGAGACTTGGTATCACAGGGTATATAAAGTCAGGCTAAAAAGTACTGTTCGCTGATTTGTTGGGAGAAAAAAACATTGTAACATACCTGATAATCTAGGCTGATAAGTTCGAACGAACAGCGTACTTACAATCCATTTCGCACCTGTTCCGAAGATTTGAATGTATGCCAAATTCGGATTCCAAATAAATTTCTAACTAACCCAGGTTTATACTGCACATCGAAACAAGATCAAGATGAGACAACGCAGGCACGCACACTGGTCCAATCGGTGGCCGCAGAGGATCAGGATCCCCCCCACGGCTGTCTAGCTGAACGGGCATCCGATGCGCCTGCACTTCTGCAGCAGCAACGCCCTCCCTTACGCGTGGGGCCCTGCCCTCCCACCCCGCGGGCCTCGTGGGCCCGCCTCTCTTCACGCCGCGGCAATTATTTTTCCCGCCGCCCCGCCGTGTACCTCGCTACGCTGCTCGCACTCTCGCTCAGCTGCTCGTGGAAGCCTCCCTCTCCCTGCTCCCTCCCATCAATGGCCGCGGCCGCCTCCGCCCCATGCTGAGCCAAACCCCTGCTAGTGCCAGCCCAGCACAGGAGGAGCGCGAGAGATCCTCGCCTACCTCGGGCCTCGGCGCAGCCGGCGCGCCCTCCGGTGCCCCGCCCCACCACTCACATGGCGGACTCGACGCACCACACCATCCGCCGCGCCGCGGCGCGCCCGCGCGGCTGGTGCTGCTCGTTCGCGGGCGTCCCGGACAGCCCCGAGCACCGCCGCGCGCTCCCGGCGTCGTCCGCGGTAGGCGCCGCCGTCCCGAAGCTGCCTCCGCCTCCGCCGCTGCTGCCCAAGTCCCCTCTGGCGCCGTCGTCGCACCACAGCTCGCCGTCGTCGAAGCTGGCGGGTCTCATCGACCCGCGCAGGATCCTCTCGCCGGGCCGCGTGTCCCCGATCGACTCCGAGGGGTCGCCGGCTGTCGCGGACGCGGAGGGGCCGCCGAGGGAGCAGGCCGCGCCTTTCGTGGCGGTGCGGGAGGACGAGGACGGGGAACGGGGAGGGGAAAGGAACGCGCTGGATCTGAGGTTGTGCCTCAGGGGCAGGGACGGCCGGTGCGTCGCCATGGACCTCGACTCCGCCGTGCTGTGCGGGAGCAGCGCGTTCTTCGCCGGCATGGTTCCCAACGCCTCTGCGAGCGGGGGCGGCGGCGGGGACAGGAGGGTCGAGGTGGATGGGGTGGACAACTTGGAGGCGTTCAAGGAGGCGGTGGAGCTCATGTTCGAGCCCGACGCCATGCGGTGGCTCGCCAGGGCCGGCGTGTCACGGGCAATTGCTGTGCTCGAGGTCAGACAGATGCATCCCTTTCATTTCCTTTCCCTTCTGTTTGTTTCTGCCGACAATACGGTCCAAATTTGTGATGTGAGTGACTAGGGAGGTAGTACTAATGGTTGTACCAGTCACATTGCATGATTACACAGCTTAATTTGACTGATCAACTGATCATGTTGCGATGAATTCAAGGTATAATTGTCGCTTAGATGTTCATGTTCACCTATTCAGTTAGCCTGTGCACCATCGTTAGGTGTAGGTGCACTTGATTTTAGACTAACACAGCAACCAAATCCAAGTGTACATTCTGCAGGTGGTGTTTTGGTCAGCAACTAATGAATTTGTTGCTTTGACATGTCAATATCATTGTTGAGTTGGTGCTGATGATATATGTTATGCAGCTGCTACAATAGGTGGTGTTTTAGTCAGCAAGTAATTAATTTGTCGATGCGACGTGTCAAAATCGTTGTTCAGTTGATGATGTATGTTATCCAGTTGCTAGAAAAGAAGCTGTCGTTTATGGTAGGCCTCACTCCATTTAGGTTCTGGTAACCGGCGTTGCTAGGAGGGGAAAAAGCAATTACGTATTGTTCTCGAGTAAATGACTTTGTCAGTGTCGGTTATTGCATCGACATCACAGATTGGCCACTACCACTTGTTTCCATCTGGCAAACTGCTCCAGTGATCCATCTCAAACACTAGCCAATGGTTTCCTCTTTTGCCACCTTCCTTCGGCAGTTCTCTTCCTGACGCCGTTGGTTTCCTTCCTTGCTGCTTATCTGTCCCGGCAGCTCTTAAATCTCAAGTTCCCTGTCTGCATAAAGGCCACAGGAATGCTGAATCAAGAAGATTCTGGTTTCAAGGAAGGCATGGCGTCGATGGTGAGCCCTCCTCATTGCAGAGGCCTCTGCCCTTCCCTATCTTCACCTCCTCCATCACCCTGTCTCCATCATGTTCGCCGCAGCCCCTTTCTGTCCATGCACCCTCTACCATGCGCCAGTAGTGATGCGGACGAGATTTCTGCGACTTGTGATTTACTCGTCAACCAGTCAGGATACTCGGCTGGCCATGCTCTGCGCCCTCGCGGCCACCTTTGTCTTCATGGCCAAGCGAGCCTGACCTTGTCATGCTGCAGGATCTGATCCCCAATTGGAACATGGTAATCTTGCAATGGAATCTCACTTGGTTTGTCAACACAATGTCAATTATGTCAGTGTTGGATTGGGCCATGAGAGAATGAAATTACTTTTCTACACTTCAGTATAATTCTCTGATCAGTACTTGGTCCACAGCTTATGGTACCGGTTCATGAGTTACTCACCTTTTAATAGGTACCTTTTATTTTTAATCGCTGAATTTGAACTAACATTTTAGAGGGAAGGTACTTATGGTTCCATTTGAGCACTATAACGCCTCAGATAATATTATTGCTGGCAAAATAGTTCAGCAGGGCTTAGGGCACACATACACAGATTTCGGGAATAGAAACCTTTGCATTACTGCGACATGGCACTGATCTACTTTGGCCTTATCGTCAACCTCATACTTCTTAGACGTAATTGTTTACAATAAAATGCCAAAAGAAGATTCTGGTTTAAGAGTTCACAAGTTGTTCCTGTTGGATAGTTAGGCTAAAAATAGTTAGGAAAGAAATCCAACCAGGAAAATACTTTCATTGTTCAGTTACTTCAGTACTGCTTTTAAGCATATAGACTTGATATATATATATATTTTTTTAAAATGAATCATTCCTTGGTGCAATTTTTACTCTAAGCAGCTCTTGTTAGGGAGTTATGGTCCTTTGTGTCAAGTGTGATTGTGGATCAGTAAATTTATTATGTATGTAGGGCTTGGATAGTTAGGATAGTTAACGGTATGAAGATCCGGTAACATTATATATGTCAACAAGTGCCATTGAAGCTCGAAGAAAATAACATAGCAGCAGTAGCAGCTTAGCAGGTTTTCACGTTCGTGGCATAGGTTCTTCTGAATTTTATGGTTGACAATTGACTGTTAATTTATGTGCACTGCACAGTTCCTATTTAGTTCTAGTTCAGACAAATACATTTGTTTGGTGCCGCATGTTTGATCCATTAATTGATGCCATCTGCTTGGTGAACACTGTATATACACAATCTCTCATTATGACTTGTTCAGTTTCAATTGTGAAAGTAGATACTGAGATGTCAATTACAGACAACCTGATATTTTTTTATTGCTATACACGTATTCAGTTGCTCTATTTGTACTTCCTCGTTGTCTGTCTTCTGCTTCCTGACACAGTCTGAACTGTATCTTTGATGTTTGAATTACAGGTTTCCTCCTCTATTATGTTTGACAGAGGAATTGAATCATGTTTGAAGTACATCGAAGCAGTTCCATGGAATGAGAATGAGGAGGAGAAGCTGAAGCATGTTTTTGCTAGATGCACTTTTGACGAATCAGTATGTAAAGATGTGCTGGCAAGATTACAGCAACAATGCACGAGCGGCTCAAAGGACTTGACAGTGCAGCTCGTTGAATCTATCACCAGTGGAACCAACAATGTTGCAAGAAAAGAGATGCAATCTTTGGTCAGTGGTCTCCTAAGCAAAAGCTCAGTCTATCATAAGGACTTGTCGGGGCTAAACAAAGGGGGCCTCTATCAAATCTGTTGTTCCTGTTTGAGTTCACTAGTGGAACTTTTCATGGAAGACTCAGAGCCAGTCGAGGATGTGGACCAAGCTATGACAACTTCAGATAGCAGGCCTATGATTGAAAAGATCAGTAAGCAAACTGAGAATCTCAATTGGCTCTTTGACATCCTTTTAAACAATGATATGGCAGAAGAATATGTTGAGTTGTGGGCTAGGCAAGTTGAACTCATCAGAATGCATGAGCAAGCATCGCCGATGTTCAGATACGAGCTTAGCCGGATATCAGCGAGCGTGTTCATCGCTCTGGGGAAAGGAAGAATCCAATGTCCCAGCAATACGAGGTGCCAATTGTTCCATGGATGGTTCAGGCCAATGCTTACGGACTTCGGCTGGCTCCAGAGGTGCTCCAAGGGGCTAGATGTGAGAATCCTGGAGGAGAACCTGGGGCAAGCCCTGCTCACCCTTCCACTTCACCAGCAGCAGAGCTTATTCGTAGAATGGTTCCAGTGCTTTGCATCTAGAGGCACAGAATGCCCTAATCTCAGCAGAGCTTTCCAGGTATGGTGGAGGAGGTCATTTGTTAGATCATCTGTAGAGGTGCGTCGGTGAGTGTTTTTACTTCACTGTGAGGTATATCATATATATGTGCTGCGTGCATCATTGTAAAATTAGAGCTGTGCAATATCTAATAGATTCAATTTTGTTTTTTCTTAATAAAATTCAGCTGGTTCTTCCCGTTCTGTGCCCTAGATGTTACTTGCACCTTACAAACGTAAACCAATACAGAATACACTACGAGCCATAGACATCGTCATAAATATGTGGAGTTTCGTTAATTTTTGCCTTAAACTTGGCATCATTGTACATGACCTTATTCATATCAGTAGTATGCAAGCAAACAAGATGGCATCACTGCACTCTGAGTCTCTGATGATCGCTGCTATATATACATACATGAGTTCCATCACAGACACTATACAGCTTAGCCGTGCTTGCCACACATGAGGCTATCTGGCTGGGCATCGATGTTGAGCCAGTGGCAATCCTCAAACGCGCACGTCCCGGAGGCCTGCAGCGTCTCGCCGACGTCCTCCGGCTTCAGGTAGTACCGCGTCCACGACGGCGTCCCGTCCTCGAAGGAGTTGTGCGTAAGCCGGCGGATGCCCGACCCGTCGATGTTGACGGTGAAGATCTCGCCGTAGGGCTGGTAGTGGTGCGGGTTGGAGATGGGCTCAGCGGACACAACGGAGTAGTCCGACGTGAACACTAGCGTCTTGGAGTCCGGGCTGAACCAGGGGTGGTTGGTCCGGCCGCCGTCGGCGCTGTGCACCACCCTCCGCAGGCCGGTGCCGTTCGGGTGCACCATGTAGATGGCGAAGCTGCCACCGCCCGGGTTGTCCCGGTCGGAGGCGAACGCGATCCACTCGCCGTCAGGGGACCAATTGCACATGGTGTCGGACCAGGGCCCCTCGGTGAGGCGCCGGATGCCACCGGCCTCGCCGTCCTCCGCGTCCATGATGTAGAGGTTCTTGTGCCCGGACCTCCCGGACCGGAACACCACCCACTTGCCATCCGGCGAGGGGGACGGGAACGCGTTGTTCTCGCCTCCCACGGTGAGCTTCTTGATCGAGACATTGGGGTCGTCGTCGTCGCCAAGGGACACGGCGACAACGTCCACCTCGGTGCTCTCGCTCGCGAAGTCCGGCCCGACGCTGGTGTAGATGACCCCTTTCCTCTTCCAGTCCCATGTCGTGGGGAACGCGTTGCCCGAGAAGACCCGCCGGCGGCCGCCGGAGCCGTCGGAGTTGACCACGAACAGCCCCGGCAGCCCGACGAAGGCGATCCTCTTGCCTTCGTGCGAGAACGAGGGGAACGACCCGTCAATCCTGAAGAGCGAGAACGTGTCCGGCGCAGGGCTCTTGATGCTCTCCAGCAGCAGTGGCCAGTCCCCGTTCCCGCTGCCCCGGCACCGGTGGTACCCGACGCGCTCGCCGTCGGGCGAGGATGAACGGGTTGAAGTGGTGCGCGCGCGGTGCCTCGGGCCGGGTCACCTCGAAGTAGGCGGCGTTGGCGCCGCCGCCGCCGCCGGACACGTCGATGACCTCGATGTGGCGGTAGTCGGAGCCCGGGCGCCGGGTGGCCACGGCCACGAGCCCCGGCGCGCCGGGCGACGCTGCGGGGGTGAACGCGTGGAACCCAGGCGGGAGATCCGGTCGACGACGGACGCGACGGACACCCCGGCGGCTTCGTCGTCCGTGAAGGAGAGCCTGGCGCGGTACACGCCGTACCAGCCGTCGCCGTCCCGTCGGTGGAAGAAGACGGTGCTCTCGTCGGCCCAGGTCGGCCACCCGCCGTCCGGGACGGCCAGCGCCCGCCGCGACCCGTCGGACGTCCGGAAGACGTAGATGTCGGTGCGGAGGTCCTCCACCTCGCCGGCCCAGCCGCCCGGGCCGGGCGACGCGACGGCGGTCCAGTCCCCGGACGGCTACACGGCGGGGCTGAAGTCGGCGACGCCGCGCGGGCTGAGGCGGCGCGTGGCCCCGGACGCTAGGCTCGTGGAGTACACGGCCGCCCAGCTCCGGCGCGGGGCCCCCGCGGCCTCCGCCGTGGAGACGTACACCAGGTGGGCGCCGTCGGGGGTCAGCGAGGGCCGGTCCTTGAGCGCGATGGGGTCCCACGGGAGCAGCTGCGTGAGCGTCGGCGAGTCGTCCGCCTCCTCCAGCGCCTCGCGGCGGCCGGCGGCGGCGGTGGAGGGGACGGGGGTGAGGTAGAGGTTGAGCGAGCCGTTGCGCTCGGAGACGAACAGGAGGGAGGGCGACTCCGAGGAGGAGGAGGGCGCGAAGTTGCCGTTGTAGTTGACGGAGGCGCCGTCCGTGAGGCGGATCTCCGCGGCCGCGGCGGAGGGGGAGAGTGGGGCGAGCGGGAGCGCGAAGATGTCGAAGGCGTAGCGGCTCCGGCCGAGCGTGGTGAAGACGATAGTGCCGGAGGTCGCGAGCGCAGGCACCACAAGGAGGAAGAGGAAGAGCGGCAGGAGATTGGCGCGGGAAGCCATGGCGTGGACTGGCGGCCACTGCCCACTGGAGAGGTGAACGCACGAGTGCAGCAGAAACCGGATAAGGGATGGTTGCTTGCCGGGGAAGGCTCTGCTAGGTCGGTATTAAATCGGTTTCGGCTTATATGTACGGTTGATTTGTTGGAAAAAAAATATACTGTTTTAGAGGTGATTTATACGGATTAAGATGGGATGATTTTTACCGGCTTCGTGATTCGTCGTGAGTGTCAGTGTCAGTGTGTCGCCACGGTTGAGTCGGGCTTTGATCCACGTCTTGATCGGGGGCGCACAACCAAATGTGGGCCCCCGTCACGCAGCGTCATATAAAGGAGGTGGGGGGCCAGGGCTCGTGGTGCGAGGTTCACTTGACGCTGCCACAATCCCCACTACAAACCCTAAAACGATCTAGAGGGGGCGCTGACAGCGACGGGAAGCGCCGCCACCATCTTCAACGCGGCGAGCTGACGCCCACGTCCTCGCCACCATCTGCATCGAGCCGATGCCACCTTCACCGCCTCAGCATCCTCTCCAGCGACCGTTACCCCGTCGCCGACCTCGCCACCGACGCCATGGCTAGCAGCTCCTCCAAGCCCGATGGTCAGCCACTTCTATCCTCTCTCTCTAGCTCATGTTCTAGGCCGAACTACTTGTTTTATCCTGAATAGAAGAGAAACTACCTACTGATCTACGCCTAGATGATTCAAGATTTTCTAACAATGGTATCAGAGCTAAGTTAGCATGTAGATCTAGTTCGGGGAAGAACTTTAGAAGGAGATGATTCGATTTGATTCGGATTAAACCATATCCCTGACCCTAGAAGAAAGGACAGAGAAGGAAGGGAACTACCTAGGTTCTCCCTGCCGTCGTGCGGGAAGAAGATCCCGCCACGGCGCGGGAGAACGAGCTCAGCCGCCGCACGACGCCGCATCGCCGGCGCGCGGGCTCGGCCTCATAGCACTGATGCAAGGGCACTCGATGGGGACGCGCTCACCCACAGGCGAACGCGCGCGTCGATGAGGGGCCCTACGGCGGCACCACCACCTTCCTCCGGCCGCCACGGCCGGCCGCCTCCGCCGCTCCTCATGGTTGCGATGATGAGAGAGAAGGGGAGGGAGAGAATGATCTAGGGTTCCGGGGAGGAGGGCGGCGCCCTGGTTTTGTCCTGCTGAGATCGACGGACAGCCGTCGGATGAGATGGACGGCTCCGAGCGCCCGGGCCGGTTTTTGGCCCAGGCGGGAAAGGAGAATCCCGGCCCAGGCCCAGGTTGCGACCTGGGACGCGGGAGCACGCAGCGCGCGAGTGGGCCTCGGGCCTAATGAACAGTAGGGTTTTGAATTTGTTTTATTATTTTTAGAAGCAATTTTTTGATGAATTTGGCTTAGATTTCATCTCCATTCAATTTGAACCAACGGGATAAATTGTCTAGAGAGTAGATAAGTACATAGAAATGCTTCTGATCAAGAATTATTATTTTTCAAGTATTTTCATGTTTCCGCTGCTATGAATATGTTTATCCTCTAATTAAATTGAAACCAACGAGAAAATTTAAATTGGAGGAGTAGTCAGATTTGTTTAAGTCAAATTATGATATTGTTATTTTTCTGACTAACGTTGATGATAACAATATTATAAGTTTATTTATGAGTTTTATGCATTAGTTCTATTTCTGTCCAACAGTGATGTAGAGTTAATGTAGAAGCATATTGTATGTTTTATTTTTGGCCAACGTTAAATTAAGGCATGCAATTATTATGTCAATTGTTTCTCACTTTATCTGATGTTGTTTTCAGGATACAACCCAATGATATTTATCTCGTCCATTCTGTCTCTCAATGGAAGCAACTATAACATATGGCGAGAGTGGAAATGGGCGAAAGAGACGACCTCATTCTCCTCCGGCCTCGACTCCACTTTGGTTCTCGGCGGGTCTCTCCACCCGATCGCGTTGACGGCCTTCGGGATCACCGCGTTCAGTCGCAGCTCATCGAACGCCTTGTGGTCGACAGATGACTTCATCCACTGTGTGGTCATGGTCCTCGCTGGAGGCATGGTGGCACAAAGGGCGCAGTAGGTGGAGGGCAAAAGCTTTGGGATGGAAGGAGGAGATCTGGGGTGGGAAGGTATATGATTGCAGAACGCAGCAGATAACCCGTGGAAGCACCCCACGACCCACGACCACTGACACGTTTGCGTGGGTGGGCGGTTCGGCTTTGCCCCATCACATCAATGCGACGGGCATCGAGGCGACGTCCCTGCTGGAACTGCCTGCTGACGCCACCCACGCGCGCTCGTCTGCGCGGGAATCCAGGAGCCAACAAGACAAAAAACGGACACCGCACGTTGTTCATCAATATAATCCGGGTAGTCACGATTTCAAACCGCTGGACCTTCTGTGATAAACCTTATCGCTCCACTAGTGTCCAGCTAGTGAAAATTTTAGATGATCGTTCTGTCTATAGGGTGCACATACATTTCAACGGCTGTGCATCCATCCTTTAACATTTGCGATCAACCCAAATCTGAATTCAAGTACTCCCTCCGTCCTAAATCGAGGAGTCAGAATTGTCAGATGTGACCAAATAAAAAAACTCAATGTAATAAGAATCAACTGAAGTATATGAAGTATAAAAGAAATAAAGGAAGATAAATATAGTTGGGCCAACATAATAACTTCATTCATTTATATATAAAAGTACATTACGTAGTATTTCTCTAATCTCTAATGTCTAAAACATCTCATCTTTCCAAGGGGACTCATGTCAGACAGTTGACAAATTGCATTCAGTCGATGAACATGAGTGAATATGACAGAGTCTCCTGCCACAAACATAGTAACACTAATAAGTCTTTTCATTTGCTTGAAATTCCTAACATGGATGAAAATCTCGCCACTATCATTGTGTTCGACAACTATAACAAAGCAATCTTTATCAAGCATATAACGAATTGTAGCTTCAACAATGATCAATCAGGGTTGTTGATGAACATAACGTCCCCAAGCAACAAGCACCTCTTCTACGATACATGGGTGTTGTGGTACGATGACATCTCTTTATATATAGACCCAAAAAACACAAGGAAAAAATCATTAGAAAAAAACACATGAAAAAACACTACACCTTGAACAAGCAAGAACCAGTACAAAGCAATAGAATATTGCCTAGGCCATATCTTAGCCTCGATTGAGATCTTGATCCTGACTAGAATAAAATAACAAAGAAACTAAAACTCACCTCAACAAAGACGATCACTGTAGTTCTATGGGCAACAGTTGCTAATGAAGTTGTAACACTGCCCTATTTCCTTGGCTAGCAACTTGCAAGTGAAAAATAAAAGAGACTAGGAAGGATATTTATACTCAACGCAGACGATAACAAACGTTAGAAGATGTGAGTCCCCGTGGCGTTACTAATTACTAATAAAATAGATTTGGAATACGAGCAGTCAGAGTAGTAGTTGAGGGGTGGGCGCGTTTTCCTGTTCTGATTACGAGAAAGTCTGGCGTGTTAAATACACAGATCTGTGGACTTTTCTCGTTATTAGAGCAGGAAAACGCGCCAACCCCTCGACTACTACACTGGCGATTCGAGTAGTAACGGCGACGAGCAATGTGAACATACTCGAGCGATGGCAAAGTACAACACCGACTGTGACTCCAGTGAGGAGGAGGACTATCCCGAGTACTGCGACTCGTCCAGCGAATCGCCAGAACACTAGCGAGTAGGAGGATGTTTTTCTCTCTTTCTATGAAAACTCAAATCCCCTTAGAATCCATGACTTTTTCCAAATTGGGAAGTCCATGGGAATATCAATAACCCATTCAGTTATTTATGGAGGGTTTTCCATCCCTGGGCCTGCCTTTCCCTTGCTTCTAAATTATAGGCCTTAGTTCAAACAGCTGCAGATGCAGTCACATAAATAAAAAAATAATTGGTAGATACAGCGCAACAAGCTACAACGGGTAGGTTTATTTTTTTTTATTTTTTAGTAATTTTTAGGTATCAAATCCACGCATCTTTTAATTATTTATTATCATCCTATTTTAGTTTTATGTTTATTTATATTATTATGAAAAACCAAAAAGGCAACAACTAACTCATCGGATATATAAACAGGTGCACAGGAGAAAAAATGAAAAGACGGATATTAGGTAAGTAATATTTTATCGTAATCATTTTCTATTAAAACACGGAATAAATTCCGATCTCTGCTGAGCACCGCGTCGAGCAGTCCTACCAACATGCCAGGAAAATTTGATTTCGCACCGCACCGAGCAGTCCCGCCAACTCGCACCAAAAATTAGATGTCTCTCTTTCGCCCTTCGTACGGAAAATAGGTTTGCCACGCCATCGATTTCAGACAAGGACATTTGTGGTAATGTGATGGCCACATAAAAGCGCAAAGAGTCACCGTCTCCACCTCCATCTCCATTCTCCAGCCGCATCATCTCTCCTCCAGCTCTAAATCCTAGTCGCATGGCCTCCCTCTCCACTCTCTAGTCACCCCCTCTGCCATCCCGCTCTGGACCCTAGGCGCCATCGGCACAGTAGCTCGACTCCCTCTCTACTATCCAGTCGCACCGTCTCTCATATATTTCCAAACCCTAGCCTCGATGACGGTACAAGCCAGATCCAGATCCCCTACCTCAGCACCTGCCACGACCGACCAGATCTAAACCCTAGCCAGAGCCAGATCTATTACCACTTCGTCAACGCCGACCGCACCAGCTCTACGACCACGATGATAAGACCGGATCTAAACACGGACATGGAGGAAGAGGTACCCAAATTCCCTTTATGATGTGTGCTCTACTATAGAGGCTGAACCAAGGCTATGTAGATAGCGATGGGGTTACATATTTCCTATAGTTGAGTGTTGCTGGCATGTGATTTATTGGATTAATGACTTCCGTATAAGCTATAGTTACTAGTTAGGCGCTTATTTGCATACTCTTGCTCTGTTGTGTTGACATTCCGTAGAAGCTTTAGTTAATACGAGT